TCCTGCCTTGATAAGAGAAATTTAGAATGATAGAAAATCTCTCTGAGGCAGACAATTGTTGTGTGTGGTATATGGGTTAATGGTGTTGGGGAAAGGGGTGGTGAAGAACGAAACGGGATTGATTCAAATTGATCATTGTTGAAGCTGGGGTTCTTTATATTCTTATTTTCTATTTTTATTTATGTTTGAAATCTAAAGTTAAAAGCTTCCTTTCAAAAACTCATCTCTTTATATTTGTCTCTATTTTTACAGAGGTTTAAATTTTTCCAAAGGTTAAAAAAAAAAAACCTTACCTTTTCATTATCTTATTCTCTCTACTTTCATGTAATTTTTCAAATTAAAAAGTTTTTTTTTTAACTCACTTTTTCCAAGGTCTTACTTGACATAATCATCACGTATGCACAAGGCTCTAACCCTTAACCCTGTTTCATTCTTCTTAGCATTTACCACCACCTTACATATGATATGCATATTCCTTAGTCTAGCTCCACCATCCCAAATGTCCAACTCCATAAAAGGACTCCACTGTCTTCCACAGCTGGGTCCCCAGCCACTGTAACAGTGCCTGGCACACAATAAGTATTTTTCAGATGGATTTGTTGTTGAGTGTATCCCATTCCACAGTGCCCTGAAAGAAATGATTCAGAAACACAGGATGAACCAGTCACTAGCTCTAAGCCACCCAGTAAATCAGTAGTGGGGCCAGAGTTTAAAAACTGGTCTAGGTCACTCTGTCTCCCAGAACCTGGAAGCCTATTCCTCACTTCTACTCTTACTCATTGAGTCTGTGTGTGGCAAAGTAAGATTTACACTGGACTGCTAACTATACTGTCAGAGGTTCAAACCCACCAGGCATACCTTGGAAACCCTATCCAGGGTCACTATGAGTCAGAACTTAACAGCACTTAACAACAACTCTAACACACACACATTCACACAGGTGATGTTACCTGGTGGCACATGACCTAAGACCAGGAGAGCCACAATGAACAGCCGCAGTTGTGTCATAGCCAGACAGCTCCGGGGGAAGCCACTGGGAAAAAGACAGGCAAATAGCTGAGTGTGTGAACTTTGCTGCCAACCACTCAGGCTTTATTGGGCTGCAGACAAAGGTAAGGCTGTGGGCAGAAGATCTAAGTAGGAGTCTGAGGCCATGTGATAGCTCGATCCGAGGCAGCATGTGAAGAACTAGTCATCCACACCCTTGAGGGGGCATGCTGAGCTCTGAAGAATTTCCTGAGGCAATGCCTGGGAGGATGGCGAAAGCACTGGCTTCAGAAAAATCTAGCTCAATCTCAGCATGTCTTCCTATGCTGTGAGATGTTGGACAAGTCGCTTAACCTCTATGAAATGAAGGCCACAATCTCTCCCTTGCAAAGCTCAATACATGGAGATTTTGCTTCCTGATGTTAAGAAGCCAAGATCGGACACAAAAATCCATTCAATCCAGCATGTATTTATTAGGTCTGCTTTGAAAAGAGGACAGTTAATGGTACACACCTCATGGGGCTGCTTAGAGGTTCAAATTAAATACTGTGGTTCTTAAAGTGTGTTCCTGAATGAGCAGCAACAGAAACACCTGGAAATTGCTGGAAATGCAAATTATCAAGCCCCACCCCAAACCTACTTATTCAAAAGCTCTTGGGTTAGTTCCCTGCAAGGTGTGTTTTAAATAAGCCCTCCAGGTCTTTCTAATGCATGCTAAAATCTGAGTGGTGGTTCTGAATCGAAATGGGGCTGCCAACCTCAAGGTCAGCAGTTCAAAACTACCAGCAGTTTCGCAGGAGAAAGATGAGGCTTTCTGCTCCCGTAAAGATTGACAGCCTCAGAAACCCTGTTACAGGGTCGCTATGAATTGGAACTGACTCCACGGCACATAACCACCAAGAGAGTCTGTACAGAGTTTAGCCCAGTGCCTGGTATACAAGTACCTGAGTTGCATCAGGAAAGATAAGTAGAGGAAAGGGCACTCCAGCAGAAGGACCAGAATGTAGCCGGTAGAATGGGGCATAGTCAGAGCAAGGGGTCAGTTGCGAGGAAAGGCTGAAATGACCCTGCAAAAGACAGAAGGAGCCAGAGCATGAATACCAAGTTTAGACTTTGGGATTGTAGACAACTGGAAGTTGTAACCTATTCAGATTTGGCTTTTAAATAAAGAAACAAAAATACAAAGAGGTGAAGTGACTTGCCCAAAGTCACACAGCAAATGAGTTGCTGAGCTGGGACTCAATGGCAAGTCAGCTAGCTCCCAGACAATGAACATAGCTCAAATGTCCAGGTCAGGGAAGGGATGGGGGGGAGTCAGGCATGAGAAGGTTAGGTATTTGCCCTGGGACCTGCGGGGGCTAAGCCAGTCTGCCAGGTTACTGTGGGAGTTGTTCAAAGCTAGACACCTGGACCCCCTCCGCCATGACAATGAGCCCCCACCCACAGGTACAGCTTGGTCTCCATGTGTCCCAATCCCTCAGGGTCTAAAGGGAGCACAGACACACACACTCAAAGAAACTGGACCCTGGGGCCATAGGTGGCCCACATCACTAGGTCCCTACAGCCCACTGGTCTTCCATGCCAAGTTCACAGTGTCTCTTTCCTCCTCCCACATCCCTGGGAAGATCAGGAGCCATGGACCATGAAGAAAAGGGAGAGCTAGCCAGGGAGGCAAAGACCTGAATCCCAAACCCACTAAACCTCAGTCTTCTCATACTCTTGTTGTTGTTGTTGTTGTTGTTGTTGTTGTTGTTGTTGTTGTTAGGTGCCAGTGAGTCGGCACCGACTCATAGCGACCCTATGCACAGCAGAACGAAACAATACCCAATCCTGGGCCAACCTCACTACTGTTGCCACACTTGAGTCCATCAATGCTGCCACTTGGCCAATCCATCTAGTTGGGGTCTTCCTCTTTTTCTCCGACCCTCCATCTTACCAAGCATGATATTCTTCTCCAGCGACTGGTCCCTCCTGACAATATGTCCAAAGTATGAGAGACGAAATTTGGCCATCTTGGCCTCTAAGGAGCACTCTGGCTGCACTTCTTCCAAAACAGATCTATTGGTTCTTTTGGCAGCCCGTGGCACTTTCAGTATTCTCCTCCAATACCATAATTCAAAGGCATCAATTCTTCTGCGATCTTCTTTATTCACTGTCCAGCCTTCGCATCCATATGAGGTTATTAAAAATACCTTAGTGTTGTGTTAAGATTAAATGAGTATCAATCCAGTGCTCACAACCATGCCAGGCATCAGCCAAGTGCTCAACAAATGTTCATCAAAGAGGCAGCCAGTCTAATGGGGCAGGAAAGACCTCCGAATCTGAATCTAGCTGGTGATTGCTCTTCTGAGGGTATTTTGTGAAAGAATGAATGATACCAAAATAAGATATTCAGTACTTTGTGCAAACTTCCTGAGCTACCTCCTCCCCTAAACCACTTCCCAGAATGAATCCAGAGCAGTAGGTTCACAAAGGACCTGCATTAGGCTCACTTGGAGCACTCCTTTGGGATGCAGATTTCTGAATACCAGGTTCCTGAGAATCTGAACATTACACAAGCTTCCCTGGAGGTTATTGGAAGGATTAAAGGTGGTGGGGGGCCCCTGATGGAGTGAGCAGATCTGGGATGCAGAGGAGGTTCCAGACCCAGAAATCCAGAGCCCCATCTTTCCTCTCCCACACCCTCCACTCTAGGATTCAACTGAAGGCAGGTCAACACGAGCTTAGCCTCTCCTAGAAGATCATTGAGCGGCCAAGGCCTTGGGGCGTGGACCCTGGGGCTGTCCTGATGGGGCGGGACTGGACAGGCTGGGGTGATGGCTCCGCCCCCCGGCAAAAGCGCAGGGGCGGGACAGGCCGAAGGGGCCCGTGCGCCTAGCGGGTGGTACAGCCTGGAGCTGCAGCAACCCGCAGCCAGCGGAGGCGGCCGGGGACCCTGGACTCCCCGCCACGCCCAGGTAAAGCCCCGCGCTACCCACCCACAAGTTAGTCGAGTTGGAGCAGAGTATCCCAGGTGCGGGAGCAAAGGCGCTTCTACGCAGTCAGGAGCAAGAAGGGCCCTGAACCCACGTCCCAGAAGTGAAGATCTTTGGACCTGTAGCCGAGAAAGTTGAGTAGTCTTGGACAGGGAATCCCAGACAGAGATCGGGGACTCACACCCAAGGACCCTTGGGCTGGGGAGGATCAGACCCAAACTCCAGAAATGGCACATTTGTTCCCAGGGTCCTATGCGACCGCACCATCGGGACCCTGTCCAGTCAGTAAATGTGGAGACCCACCCGTTCGCAGCCCCCGCCCCAGACAGCAGCTGGAGGCAGTCGCGCCAGCCGCTCCTGAATTTTTCACACAGGGGGCGGGCCGGGCACGCTGTTCCCATGGCACCGAGGCGCTCGAGTTACAGTCAGGGGGAACCCCCAGGTCCCTCTCCCTCTAGGGCACCCACCCATCCTGCCCTGCTGCCTGCTCAGCCCTCGAGGGATCTGGCAGCAGAAGTGAACCACATCCTCTACCCCACCCCACCTACCATCTACTCTCCCTGCACCCCTAGCCCCAATATCCTGTGGAAGCGACCTCTGGGAACTGGGAGGATGGAGCAATTCAGGGCACCAGAGCCTTTCTGAAGGACTGGGGACACTTACCATTTGTGGCTCTCATGAGTGGGAGGAGAGGTCTTTGTACAACCACCCGGTATGTGTGTGTGTTTATGTGTGTATGTGAGCACCCCTCCTTGCTACTGCCTTTCTGCCTGTGTCATCCAGAGTTGGGTCATCCCCAAGGCCAGGGAAATGGCCTCTCAGTGTGCACGCCTATGTTTTCACAACTTTGGTGCTCACCCTCTGAGCCTGTCCCAGGTGCTCCCTGGGCCTGAAGTCACAAAACCCCACCCCAAGGAGCTGCAGTGCCCCTGGTCCCATTTGAACAAGAGAGGACTCTGAAAGAAGCCATCCCAGAAGCTCACCAGAACTCTGCAGGAGAAGGGGTTCAGGTACCTGACTCATCTTCCGTTCCCTCCTTGCTCTCTGAGGAAAGAAGAAAGGAAGAGCAGAGCAGAGCACACTCACCCCAGGATGACACTAAATACTCAGCAGGAAGCAAAGACACCCCTGCGTCGCCGAGCCAGCACTCCACTGTCCCTGTCCCCCCGACGCCACCAGCCTGGCCTTCTGTGCACAGAGCCCTCCACGCAGTCCCAGCATCCCCGGCTGGGCCAATCAGTCTCTCTCAACCCTCCTGCTCGGATCTCTTCACCTGCCCCCAAAGATTGGTCATCTGAATCCAGCGACTCTGAAGGCTCCTGGGAGGCCCTCTACCGGGTGGTACTGCTTGGAGATCCTGGTGTAGGGAAGACCAGCCTGGCCAGCCTTTTCGCAGGAAAGCAAGAAAGGGACCTCCATGACCAGCTGGGAGGTATGGGGCCTGTAGGCTGGGCTAGGGTGTGGCCAAAGGAGTGAAAGCCCTGTCACCCGGGCACAGGGCTGCCAAGAACAGCTATACAAGTTAGGCACTGCTCAACTTTGTGGGCACCAGTCACATGGACTATGAATTGAGCGATCTCCCAAGAGCTGTGCAGGACGAGGGGAAGGAAAGAAGTCTAAGGGAGGGGAAATCCTAGAATAGTGAAGGATTTTGCCAATATCTCCTGGATTGGGTAACAGGCATATGATTCATTTCCATATCATGAAGGGAACATGAGCCTCTTGAGTGGCAGGGAATGGTGTACTTCTGCCCAACTCAGAAACTCCCAGGTCTAGCTCCCATCTCATAGACACCCATCTATGGCCATACAACCTGCAGCAAAACTAAGATCTTGTTCAGAATGGAAGCTCCCAGACTCCAAGTTCTGGGCCCTGGGTTATTTTATTCCCAAGAAAGGCAGTAAGCTGAGAGGGTGACAGGATACAGGGACCTGGTGAAGGAAATGAAGGTGGACCCTTTGAGGGTTGACTGAGAGGACACTGGGTAGGTGGGGAGGGGAGCAGTGAAGAACAGACAGAAGGTGAAAACTCCAGCCAGGCCCGTTCTCTATCCTTGATGCTCCTGAGAGTTTGAACCCATAAGTGGGTGTACACAGATATGATAGAGAAGGGAAGGCTGAGGCCCAGAGAGGGTAACAACACAGTCAGGGCAAAGCAGTGCTGAGAGGATTACCAGCCCAGCTTTAACCCCACCAGCCCACATTTATTCAACCAAGCCAACAAAAGCTTTCTAAATACCAACTATCTGCTGGGTTTTCCACTAGCCGCTGGGCACATGGGGTCCTGATGGGGTTCCTATCAGGCTATGGGGCAGGAGAGTTTCTTCCCTAGGCCTCCTCCCTGAGATCCGGCTCTTCTCTCACTTGCAGAAGATGTATATGAGAGGACCCTCACAGTGGATGGGGAGGATACTACACTGGTGGTCGTGGACACCTGGGAGACCGAGAAACTGGTATGGCTCAGGGCAACGGACCAAGTATTGTACTTCCTACCTGACTTATCTATCCCCTCTTGGAAAGCTACAGGCTAGAGATGGGGTGGGGGACTCACAGCTCCTGAGTAGACTTCCAGCTGAGGAGAGAAGAACCTCATAATGTTAAGCCCCTTTTCTAACACTGCTGGTTCCCACTCTGGAGACTTTCCAGGTTGTGTTCTTTCTCCTTCTTGCCCCCCCCCTCCTCCCTCATTACCTACTGACTCATTCACATTGTAGAAAGGAACAGTGGATTTGGGACTCAAATGCCTGAGGCTGAACGCCTTTTTCTTACCAGTTGTATGACTTTGTCCAATTAACTTACTCACTCTGGGCCTCAGTTTTCTCATCTGAGAAATGGGTCGATTATTTCTGCCATCCTCAGGTAGTTTTACAAAGTTCTCATGCAGTTTCACATAAGTGAGCAGTCGAGAGTATATGCTTAACAGAAGGAAAGAATTGTTGTAATGATCATTCTGATCAATCATAACTAGGGCTTGTGGTGATGTAGGATAAGCACTGGACTGCTAACCACAAGGTCAGTTGTTCATCAGAAACCCTTCAGGGTCACTGTGAGTCGGAATCAACTCAATGGTACTTAACAACAACAGGTATCAGGGATGAAAATATGTTTTTTTAATAACAAAAAAAATGGGGGGGAAGAGGTTGTCTTCCTTAGCCGCTTCCTGAGCAGGAAGAGAACAGCAGGTAGGGATGTGCTCCGATTAGGCCATTTTTCCTTTAGTTTTTTGTTTGAATTTTCTCTTCACTTGTTATATAGTAATACCTGTTCATTGTAGAACTTTGAGCAGCTATAACTAAGCATAGAAAGGATTATAAAATTCGCTGGGAATCCCATCTCTTGGAGAGGGGTGTCCTCTCCTAGCCTCCAGGGATGCCTGCCCACAGGGAAGACAGTGTTGGTGACTGACAACTCTAGTGACAGATGCTTTTGACAAGCCTAAAAAGGAACCCAGGTTCAGATGAGCATAATGCTGATGACCATTCTCAGAACCGCTGCTTTCTAAATGGCAGCCCCTTATTTCAATGGTGGTGGTGATGGTATGCCGTGGAGTCAGTTCTGATTCATAGCAACCCTCTGCAGGGTTTCCAAGGTTATAAATCTTTATAGGAGCACAAAGCCTCGTCTTTCTCCCATGGAACAACTGGTAGCTTTGAACTGCTGACCTTGAAGTTAGCAACCCAACTTGTAACCACTACGCTACCAGAGCTTCTTATATATTTTAATACTCAGTCAAAATAAAAACAATACAGTGAGTGTTCTGATTCCCATTTTACTGATCAGGAGACTGAAGCTCAAATGAAAAACCAAACCCACTGCCATCACTTCAAGCTCACGGGGCCCCCGTGTTACAGAGTAGAGGGGAGCTGCATAGTTATCCTGGTTGTAATCGCTGTGGAAGATCATCAGGCCTTTCTTTCATGGCCAGTGGGTGGGTTCAAACCAACAACCTTACAATCAGTGTCGAACACCAACCATCTGTGCTACCCAGGGGCCTCTAACTGAAGCAGAGGGTAGTCAAATAATGGGTCCAAATAATGGGCTAAGACATTTGTAGACAAAGTCGTGAATAAGGCAGATGTATGCCTTGCTCTCATGGAGCCTACAAGCTGGTGAGGGAGGGTCTGGTTTTTAGATGAAGTTAAGAATTCTATGAGGCAAAGTCTAGTGAAAAAGAAAAGTGACCAGACCAGAGTCCCATTTGAAAAATACAGGAAGAGGACTAGACTAGAAGGCAGGTACTGGAACTCTGCACCCATCTTGCTATGTAGCTTTGAGAAAGTTTTCTCTTCTATGGTCTTTGGTTTTCCTACCAGTAAAATGGAGGAACATAGCTATCCCAGTGGCTGTGAAGGTTGTTGTTGAATAAAGCATCCTTCCTTTCCATCCGGAACCAGAGGGGATTCTATGATGTCAGAAAGGCAGAATCTGGCAGAGTGCTGGTAAGCTTTGGCTTATCCAGTAGTGTCCTACTAACCTGGGGCACCTAGAGAGAATATTAAAAATCAGATTCTCCAGTCTTGCCCTAGACCTAATAAGTCACCACCACCTCTAAAAATAGGGTCTTGGAATCTGTATTTTTAATCACAATTCAAAAAGCTTCTTGCCCACTAATTCATGCTTCAATTGACCATGTAGTTGTTGTTAAGTGCCATTGCGTTTGTTCCAGCTCATAGTGACCCTCTGTATGGTTTCCAAGGAGCACTTTGTGAGTTTGTGGTTGGCAGTCCAGTGCTTATCCTATAGTGCCATACCAGGAGTTGACTAAACATGTAGAGTCCTCCATAAATATTTGTAGAATGAATGAAAGTATGGTCTAGAACCCTCCTCTCACTCTACATATGGGGAAACAGACCCAGAGAGAGTAAGAAACCTTTCTATATTCAAATAAAGCCACACTGAGAGCCCACATCTGTCTGACTTCAGCCCAGCATTATTTGATCTAGGGCTGTTGACAATTTACCCCTTGACAATGATGGTGACCATGAATCTGATGTTTTCATAGTCATTTCTCTTCCTGGGTTATCTGAAAGCTCTTCTGGCTTCTTCTTCCCTCAGAACCAATGCCTCTACCACTCTTGGTAGAAAGACACAAGGGAAGCCTTAGCTCTGGCTGTTCTCTTTGTCTGAAATTTCTTCTTTCCTGCTCAGCTGGCTCATCCTTTAAAACCTAACACTTCCACTGTGAAGCTCTCCCATACTGTGTGCTAGGTTGACTTCGGGCCTCCCCACCCCACCCTCATGACTCCCCCAACCACTTGCTTAGTCTGTTTTATTAATTGCTTATCACTTTTAGTGGTACTTACCACATTGTAACTCTTCATATTTCTATGGTTTCCCTTACATACTGTGAGATTGTGGAGGACAGAACCTGTCTTATAAAGCACTTATAAAGCCGGTACCCAAGGGCCTGATCTCAGAGTGGTTTCCTTGACAAAAGATTATCAACACAATGACTCAAGTTCTTTCCTTGCCTTAGTCGAAGAGCCTGAAAGGACCCTACTTCTTAAAATGTCCCTGGCCTCTTCCATCCCCTTTTCTTACATTTCACAGCTACTCTTTCTCCTCTCTCCAAAACTCCCCTGAAAAAATGTCTCCCCACTGAAGTGAGCCTCCTGAAGTAAGCACTTCTCTTCCTTCCTCTTTTCTTTTAACTCTGGACTTCAAAAAACCAACAAAACTGTCTGGGAAGGTAGAACCTTTCTCAGAAACCAGATCCTCCCGAGCAGGCAGGGGAGGCAAGGGGACACAGCGAACCTCTTGTCTCCAGTCCTCAGCCTACAGAAGGAATGAATGAATGAGTGAATGCAGTGAGACAATTTTGCAAGCAGAGCAACTGAGGCTCAGAGAAGAGTAATGGCTTTCCCAAAGTGACAGAGGAATGGCTTTCCCAAAGTGACAGAATTAGGGCCGAATTTGTCCCTCCAAGTAGTCAAAGTATAAACCTCAGCCTCTCTTCACCTATTAGACTACATTAGTCAGGGACTAGCCACCCTCTGAGGAGATGGCCTGGGGGTCCCCTCCACAGGATGAAAGCTGGAGCCAGGAGCTGGGCCTGCAGGTGGGCAGCGCCTATGTCATTGTATACTCCATCGCAGACCGAGGCAGTTTCGAGAGTGCCTCTGAGCTCCGAATTCAGCTGCGACGCACACATCAGGCTGACCACGTGCCCATCATCCTTGTTGGCAACAAAGCAGACCTGGCACGCTGTCGGGAAGTCTCTGTGGAAGGTAAGCACTCACCCCCACCCTGCCTTAGCCCCTCACCCACTCTCCTCCTCTGTCTTCCTCAAAGCCCTTTGTCGCTGCTCCTCTTCATCTCAGTGCCTTGTCTATAGGATAAGCACTTGGCCACAAGGTCAGTTTGAACCACAGACTCACCAGCCATTCCTCGGAAACCCTATACAGGGTCGCTAGGAGTCAGAACCAACTAGATGGCACTCAACAACATGGGCCTAAACCTGAAATCTAGATACTCTTCCTGCCTCCTCCCACACACCCCCAATCCAGTGCTGAAGCCCTCATATCCACCACCTTTCATCCCACACTCACCTTACTCCATGCCCACAACCTCTGCCCTACTCAACACCTTCTCTAGCCCATACTTCACTACTCTTACTCAACTGGTCCTTTTTACCAGCTGCTAGGGTTTTCCAAAGCATAGTGGTTATGAATCGGGCTGCGAACCACAAGGTCAGCAGTTGGAAACTACCAGCTGTTCCACGGGAGCAAGATGAGGCATTCTGCTCCCGTAAAGATTTCCAGCCTTGGAAACCCTGTATAGAGTCGCTATGAGTCTGAACCGACTCTACGGCACACAGCCACCACCACCAGGTTTTCCAAAACCAGATATGACTGTATCATTTCTTTGCTTAAAGAATCCCCATGCCCTTGGTTGGAGACACTCTATCCATCAAGCATGATAGGTCCAATGCCTACAGGATTTTCATGAGCTTACATATGAGACCTACAGCTAGTAATTGGCCCCAAAATACTGTGGAAAAAAAGATAAATTCAAAACCCACAAAATGTTATCTACACAACAAGCATAATGTTGTGTCATCCAGCAACTGCAAACTAAATCTTTTAAAGTTATATATTTAAAACAGGATGAGAAACCTTTTAATATATTTGATGTCAGGTGGAACCCATAAAGATCTAAAAATAGTCCTACCCACAGAGTAACATCTAAACTAACATTTCTCAAAATTGATTCAGTCCCCATAATAATACAATTCCTTCCATTTGCAAATGTGGAAACTGAGGCCCAAAGAGGGGAAACCTTTTCTACAAGGTCACCAGCCAGTAACTAGGCTCCATAACTAGGTTCCAGGACCCTGCTTCCCAGATCAGTAGCATCCTGGTGATTTAAAAAACTGCACTAAGTGGGCTGCTGTTATTAGCTGCCATCAAGTTGGCCCCAGACTCATGGCTATCCCATGAGGTCACACAGTTGTGATCCACAGAGTTTCCACTGACTGATTTTTTGGAAACAGACTCTCAGAACTTTCCTCCCGGTCCCCATTGGCAGGCACTTCACTGAAACCTGTTCAGCATCACAGAAACATACAAGCCTGCACTGACAAACTGATAATAGCTGGCTGAAACTCAAACCCAGGCCTCCTACATTATCGTTGTTGTTGGGAAGTGTCCAGTCGGTTCGACTCCTAGCGATCCTGTATAGGGTTTCCGAGAAGCAGCTGGTGGATTTGACCCACCACCCTTGCGGCTCAATCTCTATAAAGAAGGCAAGAATTCTAACAGTGGGCCACCACTGTCTTCTTATTTTAGTGGACAGCCACACAAAAAAAACTGCAATGTAATCTCCAGAAACTTTTGTTAAAATGCAGGTTCCAGGGCCCGATTACCCAGGTAACAAAGTAAACACGAATTTACTAATGCTTACTTTAAAAACCCAAGCCTGTGTTTAACTTGCTTATTGGGTAATCCTGACACTGAGAAACTGCCAGGTTCTCCTATTTACTAAATGGGAATCCCTGAGATTGGACCCAGGAATCTGTATTTTAACAAGCTTCCATGGAATCAGGAGATCCCTTACCTAGCCCTCAAGGTCCTGGTCCCAGTCAACCTGTTAATTCTACTGCCACCCTTAAGCTCAATTCAAATATGAGTCACAAGTCTATTAACTAACTCCTCAAAGCTGGGCCCGATTTAGCTCAGAGCGCCTGGCACAAGACCTACCTAACACAGATGCAAGCAAAAGAAAAAGTGCTGGAGTTGAGTCTGAAGCATCTCTCCCCATCTTATTTTTGCCTTCTGGTTATGGCTCCGCCCCCGGCACACCTGACCCCGCCCCTCCAGAGGGCCGCGCCTGCGCTGTGGTGTTTGACTGCAAATTCATTGAGACGTCAGCTACATTACAGCACAACGTGGCGGAGCTCTTCGAGGGTGTGGTGCGCCAACTGCGTCTGCGCCGCCAGGACAGCGCCCCCAGCGAGCCACCACCGCCCCGACGACGGGCCAGCCTCGGCCAGCGAGCTCGCCGCTTCCTGTCCCGCCTGACAGCCCGCAGCGCCCGGCGTCGGGCACTCAAGGCCCGCTCCAAGTCCTGTCACAACCTGGCGGTGCTCTGAGGTCACCCATCCTAATGGTCATAATGGGACACTTGGGGGCATATGGGCTTCGCAGACGCCTTTGAAGAGCAAAAATGTGGTTGCTTGGAATCCTAATCGTGGGCCTGGCCGCTTCTCGCTGCCTCAGGAACAGCCCCAGAGAGGGAAGCAATTGGACAGAGTATGGGGTCGAAGCCCCAAATTGGTCACAAAATAGGGTTTTTACAGAGTGGGTACCTTTGTAGACATTTACCCTGTCCTTGGACTCAGGCTAATCCTCAGAAGCCTCCACCATAAACTACTTGTACTCAGGCTAATCCTCAAAAGCCGCCACCATAAACTACATTAAAAGGATACCCCCTGTCTGAATGCCCAATCCACTCCTTGGGCGTTCTCCACCTCTTGTCTTCTTATCCCAGCTAAACCCTGCAGAGGGTTTAGCCAGCTGATCTGATTGTCAGGTTCAATCAATAAAGTAATTGGACCAATTGTGTGCTCAGACCCTTCTCCCAACCATTAGAGATGGAGGCAAATAACACACATTTCCCGGCCTCAGGCCTTTGACAGAGACACTGTCTTTCATCATGATGACCTGTTTTCTCACTGATCTTTTTTTTTTTTTTTTTTTTTTTTAGATTATAGACTTATATTATCTGGACACTTGTCCTACCAAGGTAATTTGGGAGCTGACTATACTAAACTATGTACTGTATCTTTGTTGTTATGTGCTGTCAAGATGGTTCCGGTTTATAGCGACCTTGTATAGGCTTTCCAAGGAGCAGGTGGTGGCTTTGAACTTCCACCCGTGTGGTTCATAGTCCAGTGCTGATCCTACAGTGCCACACCAGGAGTCCTGTACTGTATCACAAGTATTATGTCATATTCACAACATGTGGAGAGCCTTACTGTTAGCCCCATTTTACTAATTAGGAAACTGAGGCACAGAATGGTGAAGGCATGTGCCCAGAATCATACAGTTGCTATAAGTGAAGTTGCCTGAATTCCAACCCACGCTTGTTTGACGAGAGTCTCTGCCTAACTTATCCAGTCCTGGGAAAATGAACTTTCAAACATAATTTTTCATAGAAGAGGTCATGGATTCACTGAAATTCAATTCATCAATCCCCAGGTTGGATCCCCAACTTAATCCAACTCATTCATTTTCCTGGTATGAAAAGTGAAGCCCAGAGAGGGGGAGCAAATGCCAGAAGGTCACCCAGCCAATGAAGCCACTCCCAGGGCCCAGTCTCCTCCTTGGGCCTGGCTTTGCTGTGTGGGAGGTAGGAGGCAGTGAGGCACCCAGTCTGGCTGGGAGAGGGGCTGGGCCTTGGGGGTCAGGTCAGGATTTTCCAGCCTGAGGAAAGGAGTGTCACTACTCTGAGGGAAGAACAAGATGCAAACAGCTTAGGCCATGGTGTCCCAGACTCCTGACACCTCTGCCCCCAACCAGTTCCTCGCCCAGATGCCTCAGCCCCACACATGGGCCATGTCCCAGCCACGGACATCCAGATGCCAGCCTATAACACAGTGCTGAGCAAGACCAAAATACAGGTGAATCGTATTTTCTTGCCATGACCCCTAGTCACGCCAGTAGGGCATTGACAGCACATATTCCCCCACCTTCAATACTAGCCTAGGGAAGGGAAGAGGAGGACAGGGCTCCACTACCCCAAGCTGAGAGTCTGGGCCTGCAGTTCGGCAGGGGGGGGGAGAGGGAGGGGCTATAGCTGTGGAAAGTTGGCAGAGGCAGCCAGCAGCAGTGGGGAGAGTGGAAAAAATGATATCAAATCCGGAAAATGCAGGCCGGATGGAGGGCTGGAGCCTGCCCTGGGAGGTGAGAAAGAGGGAGGGCGGGAGGAGGCCCAGGGACTAAGAAAGGACAAGGGGCTGGGAGAGAGCACAGGATGTGACTTTGAGAATACGGAGACAATCACCATCATTCCCGCTTTCCCTCATCCACAAATATTTATGGAGGGCCTACTAAGGGCAGGAAGCGCCCTGATGGCACAGTGGTTAAAGTGCTCAGCTGCCAACTGGTAGGTTGGCAGTTCAAACCCACCAGCAACTCCTAGGGAGAAAGATGTGGCAGTCTGCTTCTATAACGATTTACAGCCTTGGAAATCCTGTTGGGTAGTTAGTTCTCTGTCCTTCAGGATCACTCTGAGTAGGAATCCATTCAACAGCAGTGATTACTAAGAGCAGGGCCAGCGCCAGGCTCTGTGAGGATGGTGGTCTGAACCAGGAGGAAGCCACCTCCCAAGGAAGGCAGACGGGAAACCATTAAGTGGTCACAATAACTACACATTGACAGAGGCTGGAAATCAGGGTGGTCAGGCCTGGTGAAGATAATCCAATCCAATGACCCTCAATTTACAGATGGGGAATCTGAGGGCTAGAGATAAAGAGGACTTGTCTCAGAACACACAGAGGGTGGAAGAAATAGCAGACGGAGATGGAGAGGAAAAGGAAAGAAAAGAGAAAGTCTGACCCCAACTGTGTTGGCGTTAGAAAGCAGAATGATTTCAGGCATTGACCCTAAACCAGCAGGAATCTGTGTTCAAACCCTGCTCCCCTCTACTTTCCTTTGCCTTAGTTTCTCCATCTATAAATTCGTATTGATTTTTATCCTGAGATGGATGATGTGAGGGTTAAATGATGATCTATAAAGTTTCTTTGTGTAGGAAGATTCAATGCATGTTGGTTCCCACCACTGCATTTTAAGATATTGGCTTAAAAGGACTTGTTAGAGGCAATGTTCTGAGACTGTGAAGACGTGCTGTGAGTCTTTACCCTCTGTGACACTGGAGGACTTTGGGAAAATCCCTTCCCCTTCTGGGCTTCGGTTTCCCATCAGTAAAATAAAGGGATTAAACGTGCACTTGTTATGTTTATTGTCTGCTGCACAAGAATGAAAGATCCATGAAGGCAGGGGCCTCAGTGCTGCTCCATTCCCAGCACGTACAGCAGTGCCTGATGCATAGTAGGTGAGGATAACAAACCAATCTGGCCCTTACTGTCTCACCTCTCTGGTTCTACTAGTCTGTGAGCAAGACGTATCCATTAAAGCACACAAGAAAACCGTAGTGCTTCCCCCAGGGACACCGGCCATTATCGCTTAGAAAGTTCTCTTTTTTTAAAAAACTGAATTTTTGTTTGCTTGTTTTTGTTAACTCTTTCTCTGTGTTGTCAGGCCCCAGGTTCACATTTCACAAATGCTTGGTTCACATTTTCTCATTTCATCACTATCACAACCCTCTAGTTCATAAATGCTGTTTGACAGATGAACGCAATAATTATAACAACAGCAAACAGTTGTGTCACTAGGAGCTATTATAAACCTTTCTCAGACGTCAATTCATTATATCCTCAAAACTGGTAATATTATATCAGTCTTCAGATGAACAAACTACAGCACTGGAGGATTCAGTACTTTGGTGTGGTGGTAGTGTTGTTAAGTACGTGGAGTCGGTTCCAACTCATAGTAACCCTGCACAGGGTTTCCGAGGCTGCAAATCTTTACTGGAGCAGAAAGCCTCATCTTTCTCCCACGGAACAGCTGGGGTAGTTTCGAACTGCCAACCTTGAGGTTAGCAGCCTGATTCGTAACCACTACACTACCAGAGCTCCTTTGTGTCAACTTGGCTAGGCCAGGATTCTCAGTGGTATAACAGTTAAGATGTAGTTATCACCTCCAGATGAAATCTAATATAATGTGATCAGCCCTGATCTTATGAAATGATCCAATGTGTTGTGAATGCTCACTTCTATGATGTTAGTGAACCGGCAGCAGGGTACATAACCACCACCACCACCACCATGATGTTACTGGGATCAGATGCAATCTACAGGATTAGACTGTAGCTTGAGCCAATCTCTTTTGAGACATAAAAGGAGAGAGAAGTGAGCTAAGAAAGAGGGACCCACTACCACCAAGAGCTGGGAATGGAATGCATCCTTTGTTGTTGTTGTTAGGTGCCACTGAGTCAATACCAACTCATAGTGAACCTATGCACAACAGAACGAAACACTGCCCGGTCCTGGGCTAACCTCACCATTGTTGCCATGCTTGAGCCCATTGATGCTGCCACTTTGCCAATCCATCTCGCTGGGGGTCTTCCTCTTTTTCTCTGACCCTCCACATTACCAAACATGATATTCTTCTCCAGTGACTGGTCCCTCCTGACAACATGTCCTAAGTATGAGAGACAAAGTTTGGCCATCCTGGCCTCCAAGGAGCACTCAGGCTGCACTTCTTCCAACACAGATCTGTTGTTTCTAAGGGCAGCCCATGGCACTTTCAATATTCTCCTCCAACATCATAACTCAAAAGCATCAATTCTTCTATGGTCTTCCTTATTTATTGTCCAGTTTTCATATGCATATGAGGTTATTGAAAATAACCTTGGGTCAGGCTCACCTTAGTCCTCAAGATGACATCTTTGCTCTTTCAACACTTTAAAAAGGTCCCGTGCAGCAGATTTGCCTAATGCAATACATCGTTTGATTTCTTGACTGCTGCTTCCAGGAGTGTTGATAGTTGATCCAAGAAGAATGAAGTCCTTGACAACTTCAATCTTTTCTCTGTTGATAAGAATGTTGTTTATTGGTCCAGTGGTGAGGACTTTTGTTTTCTTTACATTGAGATGCAATATATACCGAAGGCTGTGCTCTTTGAGCTTCATCTGTAAATATTTGAAGTCCTCTTCACTTTCAGTAAGCAAGGTTGTATCATCTGCATATCGCAGGTTGTTAATGAGTCTTCCTCCAATCCTGATGCCATATTTTTCTTCATAGAATCCAGCTTCTCAGATTATTTGCTCAGCATACATACTGAATAGGTATGGTGAAAGAATACAACCCTGGTGCACACCTTTATTAATTTTAAACCATTCAGTGTTCCCATGCTCTGTTCGAACATCTGCCTCTTGGTCCAGGTACAGATTCCTCATGAGCACAATGAAGTGTTCTGGAATACTCATACTCTGCAATGTTGTTCATAGCTTGTCATGATCCACACAATCGAACATC